ACGAGGCGATGGTATATTTGAAAATATTAACATTTGTTTTATTCGTGCACGGGAAAACTCAATACAGACAATCAAAAAAGTTCGGAATTGTTCCTCACTCAGTCTCGTAAGAGTCTTCAACTCCCCTCCCCCCTGTCTCTATGATTTATATAGTTCTTTAGTACATCCTGTGTTGAGTCAATTAAGTAATGAGACCAGGAGAACTTCCTTAATTCTGTTTTCCGTGTATTGTCTGCTCAGGAAGCCTGTAACTTTGCAGTTTAAGCTGATCTTGCAGTTTTTGAAAGCTTGGTTTAACTCGAGAAAACACACACGTTAATAATATATAAATTTCAACATATTAATCAGTTCATCAATACAACAAATAATATTCACAGGCCTTAAGATAAAGATTAGTGGGACAGAAGGGCTCCTTAATGGTTGGACTCAATACATAATGTTGGCGCTGTTCGAGCATGTGACATCACAGCAGCTGTCAGACCTCAGGGGAGCTCTATCCTCTTGAAGCTGAAGAGTTATTTTTAAAACAAGTAAAACCTTACAGTCCATCTCAGGGGAAACAAAAAAAAGTAACTCAACCCCTGCAGTGTGGGGATATTGCCCCATTTTAAGGGTAATGTGCTCATTTTTGTTTAGGGGACTGGGGTAAAACAGATATACTCACCTGATCCCTGCTACCCTGGAAGTCAGTTCCCTTTTCAAATCCCCTTTGGCTCCTGCTGGTGTAATGTCCCTCAACGTCCTCACATCTAAGGCAGGTCAGTGAACCATACATGGGGGGTGATGTCTTTAGTGATCCTTAGACCGCCGAAAGCCAAGGGGAAAGGAGGCTTTGCGGACCGGTCTAGCAGCCCCGAGGGAGCCGGCAAGGGATCAGGTAGGTAAAATTGCTTTACTCTGGTCCCCTAGACAAAAACAAGCACTTAACTCTTGCAGTGTGGGGGAAGCCCCAATGCAAGGTAGATTTTTTTTTGTTTGCCCTGAGAGATGGGCTTTAATGTAATGGGAATTTTCTTCATAAATATTCCTGCACAGCTTTAACAAACTGTATTTGCAGAATCTTGTGTAGAATCCCCACAGTGACCGCTTCTCTTGAAGCGTATAGCAGCTGCCATTGACTGAGCAGTTTGGCTGCTTTGCGAATCCAGGAAATGTTTGGCTGGCGAACGCACACAACAGTCCCTTCCCTTCTTTTCTTATGGGCTGCTCTTTGACTTCCGATTGGCTCTGAGGTCCCCTCTGCACACAATGCAAGGCCGGCTGAGCCCACTAACGCAGGATGCCTTTCACAATAACCGCTTGTATACCGAGCCTTGTGGCAAATCGACTGAGTGCTGATCAAATGCCCCCCGCTGAAAGCGTGGCGCGGCTCGCAAGTTCCCTTCTGTTATGAGACAACCGATTCACAGCACCCTCTCCCTTCATCCTTTGTTCCCACACTTTCTCCTAACGCGCCCGCTTCAAAGCCTCACCGTCTGCCAGTGCAAGGTTTGAAGACTTTCCCTTCACAAATAAAAAAAAAAGAAAATATAAAAAAAAGGAGAATGTTTGGCTTTCTTAAGAGCTGCGTTCGGGGCGCACAATGTGAATGCTCCGGTGGTGGTGGTGGTGGGGGGGGCAACCAAACGTTTGTACAGAACGAAGATGCACAATGTTCCAAGGAAAGCAATTAAGGGCATCGTGGCCTATTTAAATGGACTCACAACTGATACACAGCTTAAATTAGAAAGATCAGGACACAATTCTGTGTTTTTCCAGCATGGATGCTATCATCCTTGAAGGATAACTCCACTTTTACAGCAAAACTGACTTTCTAGGATAGGAAAAATGTCTTTTTACAGTTGCAAGACTGACACCACTGTGTAAGATATGGAATTACATAATGTGTTTTGAAAACTACAGGGGACCCTGTGACCAACCAGAGATCATGGGGCTCGGTGGGTGACAAATTAGGATCCACAGAGGACCTAGTGACCAAACAGAGGTCACAGGGCACTGTGGATGACAAATTAGGATTCATAGAAGACTTGGTGACCATACAGAGGTCATGGGACTGGGTGGGTAACAAATTAGGGTCCACAGAGGACTTTGTGACCGTAGAGAGGTCATGGTGCAAGGTGGGTGACAAATTAGAATTCACAGAGGACCTGGTGACCATACAGAGGTCATGGGGCTCGGTGGGTGACAAATTAGGATTCACAGAGGACCTGATGACCATACAGGGGACATGGGGCTCGGTGGGTAACAAATTAGGATTCACAGAGGACCTGGTGACCATTAAGAAGGTCATGGGGCTCGGTGGTTGACAAATTAGAACTCACAGAGAACCTGGTGACCAAACATAGGTCATGGAGCTCAGTTGGATGACAAATTAGGATTTACAGACAACCTGGTGACCATACAGAGGTCATGGGGCTTGATAGGTGACAAATTAGGATTCACAGAGGACCTGGATACAGAGGTCATGGGGCTTGGAAGGTGACAAATTAGGATTCACAGAGGACCTGGATACAGAGGTCATGGGGCTTGGAAGGTGACAAATTAGGATTCACAGAGGACCTGCTGACCATACAGAGGTCATGGGGCTCGGTGGGTAACAATACCCTTAGGGTCTTATTTAATGCATGCATTGCAGCGTGCTAAAACACGTGTCCACCTTCCCCTTAATAAGAATGGGTCCTGTTCCCATCCCAGGTCTGCAGTACATTATGAAAATTATGCCACGTCCATATTTTTCTGCATTTTATGAAACTGGGAAGCCCAGTGGCAACAAATCAATACACAAATCACATTTATATAACATATAATATGTGCAACGGGTATTAATAAACTTTGGCCAATGTCTGTTAACCCTGTCACAGGGGTAGGCAACTTCACCCTCCAGCTGTTGTGGAACTACATGATGGGATTTTTAGTTTCACCATAGTTAGGGGGCCATGGTTGCCTCAAAACACATATAACAAGCATTTTGATGCATTTGCAACAGGTATGAACACGTTTTGGTGAATGGCTGTTACTCTTATATCAGGGGTAGGCAACCTCAGCACTCCAGCTGTTGTGGAACTACAAGTTCCATGATGCATTGCAAGACTCTGACAGACACAGGAGGCAGAGACATTAAGGGAATTGTAGTTTCACCACAGCTGGAGTGCCAAGGTTGCCTACCCCTGCTCTGCCCCTGCAGCCTTAAAGCTGCTTCTTCAGGGGAAGGCAAGGAGAAATCTAAAATGGAAGAAGTGTATAGTAAAGTAATGTGTCATTTAATTCCCACAATACAATGCAATGGCCAATAATATAAAAGTAAACATATGCACATACTTTGTACGTCTATTCTGTGTTTTAGTGCATTTAGAAGTAAATAGAGATAAATGGCAAAATGTAAAATGCGGTTTCATGCATTTTGATTTGCTGGCAACAGGTATTAAAAAGTCATGGTCAATGGCTGTTAAAATTGTCCACTACAAATGCTAATAGGAAAAACAAGTGTCAACATGTGTCAATAATGTATATCAATGCTTGTGTTTGTTGTAAGTTGACGAATTCCAACACCCCTAATGCTACAAAGAAAAAAAACAAACAAAAAACTCACCTCTACGCACATGCATAAGTCTATATGGGCCCCAACAATGGTTAATTTGCTATCATGTCTATGGAATTATCACACTGCTATTATGTTGTATTGCTGTTATAGTACTCTTTTTATAATGCTATTGTTATTACTGTTAATATACACCGATCAGCCATAACATTATGACCACCAGCCTAATATTGAATAAGTCCCCCTTTTGCCACCAAAACAGCCCTGATCCATCAAGGCATGGACTCCACTAGACCTCTGAAGGTATGCTGTGGTGTCCGGCACCAAGCCGTCAGTAGCAGATATTTTAAGCCCCGTAAGTTGTGAGGTGAGGCCTCCATGGATCGGACTTGTTTCTCCAGCACATCTCACAGATGCTCGCTGGCTGAAAGAGGCCGCTGCCTTCAGGGAATACCATTTCCATGAAGGGGTGTACTTGGTCAGCAATGTTTAGGTCAGTGGTACATGTCAAAGTAACATCCACATGAATGGCAAGACCCAAAGGTTCCCAGCAGAACATTGCCGAAAACCATCACACTGCCTCCGCCAGCTTGTCTTCTTCAAAAAGCGCATCCTAGTGCCATCTCTTCCCCAGGTAAGCAACACCCATGTACCCAGCCATCCATATGATGTAAAAGAAAATGTGCTTCATCAGACCTGGCCACCTTCTTCCATTGTTCTGTGGTCCAGTTCTGATGCACATGTGCCCATTGTACACGCTTCTGATGGTGGATACATGTCAGCATGGGCACCCTGACTGGTCTGTGGCAATGCAGCTCCTTACACAACAAACTGCAATGCTCTGTGTGTTCAGACTTCTTTTTATGAGAACCAGCATGAACTTTTTCAGCAATTTGAGCTATAGTAGCTCGTCTATTGTATCAGTCTATACAGCCCAGCCTTTGCTCCCCACATCCATCAATGAACCCTGGCTACCCATGACCCTAATGCGGGTTCACTGGCTTTCCTCCCTTTTGTACCACTTTTGGTAGGTCCGACCACTGCAGGCCGGGAACATCCCACAAGGGCTGCAAGTTTGCAGTTGCTCTGACCTAGTCATATAGTCATCACAATTTGGTCCTGGTCAAAGTCACTAGATGTAAAAGAAAACTTGATTAAAATCAGACCAACACACCAACTTCAAGGACAAAATGTTCACTTGCTGCCTAATATATCCCCACCACTTCCAGGTGCCATTGTAATATAGCCCCCCACTTCCAGGTGACATTGTAATATATCCCCCCCACTTCCAGGTGCCATTGTAATGAGATACTCAATGTTATTAACTTCTCTGTGGTCAGAATGTTATGGCTGATCGGTATATATATATAAAGCATCCTCAATTGAGCTTATTTTCTTATATTATATCTAGCCGCCTCTCACCCTGGTTTAAGCCCCGCCTTCTTTTACTCTTTTTTTCCAGGTCCTCGGAGAGTACATTGTGTCTGGGATTCCGTTAGTCAAAGAAAAAAGCGCGAACAGGTTGAAGCTGTTCATTTAAATGCAGAGGTACAAAGCATGACTTTTTGTTGAAATAATTGTCTCATGCCCTTAGACAATTACCATCCATGCTAATTAGGAAAAGATTAATTAATCGAGCTTAGCAAGAGCTAAAAGTAACATCTGTTACCTCGGAACTTATCTTCTTTTTTTTTAAGCATAAAAGGTTAGCCGTGTTCTGGAATAAAATGGAGACTGTATTAGATTTATACGTACGGAGTAAGCTGTGTTTCACTTAGACTAGAGAGCTGTGTAAGACTAGGAGGCATGCTGGGAAAGTTAGCTCCCCAGCAGGGCTGTAAATACAGATCTTTATAAATGTTAATATTCGCGCTTGTGAATGTCCCCCCTTTTAATTTTTAAATAACTGACAGCTGCAGTGAAAGACCGAAAAAGCCAAAAGCAATGTGGCCTTATTGTGAAACAATTTAATATAACCCATAAATCTCCAAATAGACAATAAAACAACCCAAAACACATCTACGTATGTATACCACCGTATATCAAGCGTACACATGAAATACAATAAGTATGGTGCAAAAAGTATTGAACAATGTGAAATAATCTGTGACTCATTAATATTCAAAGATATGCAAATCAGCATAAATCATCAATCAATGTGAATAATGTGTACATAAATTAATATTGAGGATAATCAATAATAAATATAAAAAAACTAAAGTCCATATAAAATATATATAAAGCACAAAACTTCATCCGATCCTCACAGGACAAAGTGTGTTCATATAATCCCACTCTGAAGAAACAGCAATGCACCCCACTCACCAGAATCAAATACAGACATTCCTCGGTTACCGACTTACCTGCTTTGCGACCACTCGCACTTACGACGGACCGCCGATCGACCTCCGACCTTGCGCGTCAGCTTCAGTGGGACGTGTCGCCGGCGGAAGTGATGTCCTCCGATCTTCACTGCGGGTCCCGGTAAGTATTTTCATTGCCCGATGTACAGTACACTGTTCAGTACTGTGCATCTGCAACGCTATACAGTACTAATGCAGTACAGTACTGTATAGAGTTCCTCACTTAACGACCAATTCGTTTAACGACCTGGTCGTAGGTACGGAACTTAGTCGTTAAGTGAGGAATACCTGTAGTCAAATCGCAGTGATTACAGGACGCTACTTTCCCCAATAAAGTAATGGCTTCAAGGAGACCTTCTTTCTCTTTTCTCAACAAGTGCATTCAATGCCTCACACTGATTGAAAGAAACTGTGTATCCTCTCCCACCGCAAACTCTTTCTTTCCCCACTCCAGTGGTGTATTTTGGTTTTGTGCTGCCCTAGGCAAGACTAAACTCGGGCATCCCCCCTCAATCTAAATTTTGTTTAGGACATTATGCGCAACCTGTCAGTCACTGCATACAGTGCACACGGGGTCTCAGGTGGGCTGTGCATGGTCTATGGTGGGCTGTACGGGGTCTCAGGAGAGCTGTGCAGAATCTATAGTGGGCTGTGCATAGTCCCTTTCCCTGCATACATGTGCTGCTCCTCTCCACCTGCAGCTGAAAGTGCCATCAGTACCAACAGGATACATTGCAGTCTCCAGCCTGCTTCTGGGACAGCACATCATCAGATCACATGCTATGGCCAGCCCCAAGCCTCCCGCTGCTTCTCCTCCCTCTCCTGTACGAAGCAGCTCTCGAATTAGGCAGCCGTTGCTGCCTGATTCTGTGCCGCCCAGCCTGGGCCCACAGGGCAAGTGCCCATTATGCCCAAAGGCAAGTCTGTCCCTGTCCGCCTCATTGGTTTGGGGTGGCATTTTCTGCCGCCCCCCTTTTGGTGCCGCCCTAGGCAAATGCCTAGTTTGCCTTCTGGTAGATACACCCCTGCCCCACTCGCCACCTTGAATGAATCAATAAACGGTCTCCTCCTCACTTCTCATACAAATGGATTGTAGCCGGGATTTTAGCTCACCGATAAAGCAACAAATATACCGAACATAGCATAAAATTTTTAAAAATGTATTTTGCGCAAAAAACAATAAAAACTTACATAAATGAAAAGTGGATAGAACTAGGGCTGCAACAACTAATCGACATAATCGATTATAATCGATTATGGAAAAAGTTGTCAACTTTTTCAATAATCGATTAATCGGCTTCCGATCAGTTGGCCCTGTTCACAGCTCCACACGCTGTGCGCCGCACCTCCTCCCCACCTCACGCTCACCGCTGCCAGACCCGCTCGCATCCACGCTCCACACGCCGCACCTCCTCCCCGCCTCACACTTCCTGCCCATCCACGATAGCCAAGGCACGCGGGGAGATGTAGTAAGGAGGAGCAGGGGTGGGGGGATGACAGCAGCTGATAGACAGGTCCAATCTCAGAAGCAAGTTGCTGGAAGACTGGTCAGGTAAGCCTGCACTTTCCCACACATGGGGCTCTATAATGTATTGCTGGGATTTGTATTTCTCTATAGCTGATGGTACATTGTACTGTATATTATACATAGGAATACAAATACCAGCAATGCATTATACACTGTATGTATAATGTATTGCTGGGATTTGTTGTACTCCTCTATAGCTGGTGATATTCTGCATTGCGCTGTATAGAGGACTACAAGTCCCAGCAATAATACATTATACAGCGCAATGCGGAATACCACCAGCTATAGAGGACTACAACAAATCCCAGCAATAGTACATTATAAAGTGGTACAATGCTGAATACCACCAGCTATAGAGGACTACAAAACCCAGCAATAGTACATTATACAGCGCAATGCAGAATGCCTCCAGCTATTGTGTACTATTGCTGGGATTTGTTGTATTCCTCTATAGCTGGCGGTGTTCTGCATTGTGCTGTATAATGTGCTTTTGCTGGGTTTTGTAGTCCTCTATAGCCGGTGCCATTCTGCATTCATTGCTGTATAATTTTACACTTTCCATTTCACTATATTGCACACCACACTATCTTTTTTTTCTTTTTTACTTCCACCGCTCCAAGCCTGCTCCTGTGATGGACTACAACCTCAATACAAACTAGTAGTCCATCACTGGAGCCATTTTTTAAACTTTATTTTATTGTTTATCCGATTAACCGATTAATCGAACTTAATAATCGGCTAACTAATCGATTTTGAAAATAATCGTTAGCTGCAGCTCTAGCTAGAACATGTAACCCAAAGGGGTATATCTCACAATGTTCAGCAGGCGATAATGGTCCTAACGCAGCTCCACTATGGAATGAACAGGATAGCAGCAACGTACACGCTTGTCCCCACGTTGTTCAATATTTTTTGCACCATACTTATTGTATTTCATGTGTACGCTTGATATACGGTGGGGGAGCATGTATACACACATAGATATGGTGGTTTTTTTTTGGTTGTTTTATTGTCTATTTGGAAATGTATGGGTTATATTCAATTGTTTCACAATAAGGGGAGATAGCGCGGAGTAAATACAGATCACAGGGCCCAATAGCAAAAATGTGATGGGGGCCCCCCTGATGAACTCTCCCTGAGCTGTGAGTAACAATGCTAAGATGCCAAAGATTCTTCTTGTGCATCTGAAGTCGTCTCTACACTGTAGACTTTACAGAGGATTCGAGTTGTTGTCAACTGCAAACACTCCAACCCTGAATGATATATTACTGGATTATCTTCACATGTTTAAAGGAGAACTATGAGGTGAGTGCTTTTCACTCACCTCATAGTTCTAGCCGACCTGTGACAATGAGACAGTCACAGGTCGGCTCAGTAGATCGGGAGGTGAGCGAACACATACCGGCTGGATTCCCCCCTCCCCGCTCCGATCCGCCAGCGCTGACTGGCGGAACGGACGGGGGAGGGGGCGGGTACAGCTGGCTCTGCCTCTAGATAGACAGAGCCAGCTGTCAGTTACGCAGCTGGGCGGATCCAGTCACAATTGTCGGGATCCGCTTCAGCTGCGGCGTCTCAGTATACCGCGATCTACAGCTCGTGGTATACTGAGCCTAGGGTGACGGGAGGACGCTAGTTTGTGTCCTCCCGTTACCCTAAGGAGAACTATGGGGAAAAGACTTAACCCCATAGTTCTCCTTTAATTTCCCTCAACAACCTAATGGGGCCCCCTTCCAGGCCCAGTCTCCATAGCAGCCGCCTGAGCTGTTATGGCTGTAGTTATGCCACTGTTCCCCAGCATCTTAGTGGAGTGAGCCAATCAACGCCAAGCTTGTGCAAGTTTTAAAATGCTCAGTCTTGCGCTATTATACCCGACAGGCTCAATTGTTAAATATTTATATATTTTTTATATTTTCCCTTTTTTTGTTTTTGTTTTGCCGCCTTCCCAGTTGCCTGAACTCATCCTGCAGTTGCTTGCATGTCTCGTATTAGGCTGCGTTCACACCTGACCGTTTTGTAGGGCGTTCTACGCTCGACGAACGCTCTACAAACCGGTCAAAAAATAAATTGCATTGTAGTCAATGCCCTCGTTCCCACCTCGCCATATTTCCGCCCGTCCCTAACGTCCTACAAAACGGCCCACGCCTGAAAAGGTCCCGGGACTACTTTGGGCCGTTTTGTAGGACGTTTTCCATTTGGATACTGCCAAGTAGCCTTTGGAATCGCGCGACGGTCGCACAACTTTTTTACCGTGAATCGCAGTAAAAAAAAAAACGTGTGACGGTCGCGCGACAGACGCGCATATTACAATACGCCTAGGTGTGAATGGGGCCTAAGAAACCTGTACTTGGCCCGGTTTGGAATGTTAGCTCCCTAGCATTTTAGTGGAGATAGCCAATCAGGGCTAAGCTTGAGCAAGAATTAAAATGCTCATTCTTCAATTATTATGACTTTGCGGCTTACTCGTTAAATATTTTTCTATTTTAATAAAAGTATGCTGCCAGAACTCATAATATAAGCTGTCTTCCAGCTACTGATTGTGCACAACAGTATAAAAAAAATAGTTGCTTGCATACCTCCTATAGGGAACCTGTACTTGGGAAAAGTAACAGATTCTCTTAACAATCAGCCTGCCCTGGCCACTTAAACCTATCTTCTAT